GAGAGGGTGGGAAATTCACTCATTCTCAAAGGTTCACGCGGTCTTTGTTCATTTGAATTTGATTGACATGCTAAACACTTTTGAATTGCAGCTTCGATTTCAGAATTCATGTTTGGAAAATATACTTTCGATCTTATGTAGCTTTTTGTTTTCACAATTCCTTGGTGACCTTCATGTCCTAGTTTTATTGCTTTTTCACGGAGTGATTTTGGAATCACTAGTTTATCATTTTTCATCAATAATGTTTCATTATACACAGTCAATTCGTCCTTTATACTACGAAAAGATGATAATTCTTCTTTGTCTATTTCTGGGTCATTCAGTGTTTTCAATTCATACCATTTACCATTCTTTGTAAATTCGACTGCCTTTTGCATTGTCTTATCTTTCAGTGATTCCATTTTTACCTCATCTACTGTCATTGCATTTGGTAATGATTGTTCTGCGACAAATGACACGTATTCCTCTGCTATATTTCGTTCTTCCATATATTTTAATGGATGACGGGACATAAAATCTGAGGGATTATCTTTCCCTGACCTATACTCTATTTTCATTTTGAACGGTTGAAGTCGCAATCCCCAACGTTCGATTCTTAGTGGTGGTTGTTTCTTTTCCCAAATTTTAGTTAACGGCATGCAATCAGTAATGCATGTGAATGTTGGTGCTCCCTTTAGATACATCGCAAAATGTTCGCATGACCATACCAAGCTTGCTGAATATTTTTGCTCCATTCATATCATGAATTAGTTCATCTATCGTCGGCATTTGATGTCTTTCCCTTTCTATGGCTTTATTGGCCTCTCTCATATCAACACAGAGTCTAACATCGCCATTTTGTTTAGGAGGTGTGACAATTGGTGAAACCCAAGGTGTAGGCTCATTTATAACTTCTTCAATAATATCATTTTCTAACAAGGTTTTAATTTCTTTTTCTACTTTTTCTCTCAAATGAAATGGTGTTCTTCTATTTCTTTGTGCTACAGGTTTCACATTTGGATTAATGTGCAATTTCACGGTTTTGTGATTTAGCTTTCCAATACCTTTATAAATTCCAGGGTATTTATCCTCAATCTTTGTTTTCAAGGAGATGTTCTGTGTAATCTTGACTAATTCCATTTCACATGATGTATCATAGCCGATTAAAACTCCATAATTTCCTTTCACAAGATAAAATTTTGCTACGGTTATTTTCTCATTCTTTTCAACAGATAATTCATATACCCTTTTACTGGAAGCGGATTTCCTCCTCCGTAAGGCAAAAGTTTTGGTAAATATTTTCGTTGAATTTTAGGTTTTCCAATGTAATTATAAGTCCTTTCATCTATAATGTTAACACTTGAACCTGTATCAATCGTTGCTGTTATTTTTCTTTTCATTCACTGTTATTTTTGTTTGAGGCGTTTTCCTTTTGTTTTCTTTTGCGACACTTTTAACAGTTATGTTATAGAGGAATTCTTCCTCTGAATTGGACTGTAAATCCTCTTCACGACTTACTTCGTTTACTTTGCCTCGTTTTGATTTCTGACAGCACCGCGCAAAATGGCCAACTGTTGAGCATGTGTTTGCATGTTTTCCCTTTTGCTGGACAAGGGGTACCTCTGTGGGGAAATTCATATCCGCAATTCCTGCATTTATTGGTTGGCAACGCGCGCCGATAATTCCCCGCGCTGATACGATTGGCCAGTCTCCCGAAAATTCCCACGGTTCTGCGAGTTAAATCCACGTCGTGCAGCCGTTCTCCCACGTGTTGTTCCACCCTCGCCCTCTTCGTGTGTAATTTGATACTTTCCTTACTAAGTTTTGGTCATTTTTCTCCATTGCTTTGGCGTGTTGGTCACTTTGTTCAAGCATCCTACCCATAGTTAAAATAGCATCCAGTTTTTTTGTAAGGTTCACGTAAAGCCCTACGACGTAACTGGTTAGATTTCCCGGGTTGTATAACTTGCTGCAATATTTTCGCCATCAATATCTGTAAACCCACAGGTTTTTAGCTAGTGTCCGTAATTCCGTCACATATTCGTCAAGGGATTGTTCTTCTGACTGTTTATATGTTCGAAAATTGTATATCTCTATTTGGATGTTCTTCTGTGGCGAAAAATAGTCCCCAAGCACTTTCTTTGTTGCGTCATATGTTTCTTCCGTCTCTTTCTTCTCAACGTCATAAATATCATAAACCTTTTCACCGGCGTAGTGTAATAATAAAGCTCTTTTTTGGTCATCATCGTCCACTAACATTCCCTTGAATAAATTCTCTAAACGACCAATCCATTTTTCCCACCGTGCTCCTGAATTTGTTTTGTCCGTCTCAAGATCGTTTGTAGACGTATATTATGAGAAATTACTTATATTTATTATAAAAAAAATCATAATGATGATTTATTCGGTTTTTATTTGCATAATTTATATACACAAATTGTTATATCTTCCTTTGGCTTACATCGAAAAATACGAAAGTGACTTATAAAATATAAAATATACCGTTTAAATTGAAATTATTTTTACTAATATTGCACAAAGTGGACGTATAATATCAGAAAATGATAATATTTACATTATGATGATTAAATCGCCATTTATTTGGCATAATCTCTATACACAAGTTATATACAGAGATCTTCCTTTCGCTCGCATTGAAAAATACGAAAGTGGCTTACAAAATATCAAATATACTGTTTAAATTGAATTTATTACTAAAATTGCAATTAATTTGTAGATGTACAATATCAGAAATCAATTATATTTATTTTTTAAAAATAATCATAATGATGATTTAACCACCCTTTATTTGCATTACACAAGTTAAAAGATCTTCCTTTCCCTCACATTGAAAAATACGAAAGTGACTTCAAAAATGTCAAATATAGCGCTGAAAGACGCATGTTTTCAGAAATGAATAAAATACATTGAAAATCAAAGTGCTGCAGCACTGAATGCGACGGACATGCAACCGGAGAGACATTAATTAAGGCTTCTTTTAGAAAAAAAAACAAAACAAAAACAAAACACAAAATATATAACAGAGAAAATGTGTTCCATACAAGTTCGAGATTTGTAGAGCAATATATTTTGTGTCCCAAATTGATATAATTCAGATTTTCTACTTTCAAGCACTTAAATACAGAATGAAATTTATGCCTAAAAACTCTGGTCAAACTTGTAAATCAGTGTCCTTATCGATTTATTCTAAGAAATGATATGTAAATAGAAAAAAAACTATCAACGAAATATTTCTAGAATAAATCCAGGCAAATAAACTTCAAACATAATACATTATACATTTGAGAATGCTATTTAGAATTGCTTCGTGTTATATCATAGTGGGCATACAGACAATAAAATATAAGTCATTTGTATTTTTATTTCTCTTGGATATGTCTCATTAAAAAAAAAATTGGTTAAAATCATCAGCAATTAATAGTGTATTTCTTAGATTTTTTTTATTTACAAGGTAAAGATGTAGAGGCCAGAGCACATCGTTTTTATTTTAATTTAAATGTCACTTAAGCACTACAGTGTTTAGTTGTCCTTTTCAACTTCACACTAAATTCCATTTTCAACTTGTTTGCTTCTTACAATTGTATAGCATTTCTAAAAGTATTGCATTACAATCCGCTGGTTTATTAATTACATGTTTAATGTGTACTTCCTAATCGCCTGTCCAAAAATCAGAAACAGGTGAAGCAGAATCTATTTTTAGAATAGCGAAGGTTAACTCATATCATGACCTAGTAAAAATATGTAAAAACCACAAGAATCGGAAGTAGAACTGATATTATAACTTCCTTACCATGAAAGACTACATGGCGGTAAAGTGTCTTACATGCATTTTCAAAAATAGATATTTATACTAGCCATTGTACTGTATCTAATATATTAATAACTGCTGAATATTCAGCTAAACCCGCGGTATGAGTCACGAAAATAGTTCTTCTTTTATTAATGCGCGAGTTATCCTAGAGTCACGAAAAAACTTTTGATTTGTTAATAATAATGTTTTGTATAATGTAGAAAATATTTATTTCCTACTAATAATGTCTTGGAACTCAGAGGTTACACCTTTATTGAAAGTATAATTTGCTGTCCTACTTTTTCGACAGCGGTAAATCGTTCAGCAGTAATTTGCATATTGCGCAATAATACTACGGGACTACAACGTTTTTATCAATAATATACGTTCATATTTTAACTTGGATAACTTAATTTGTAATTGAAAAGGCTAAATATGGAAGACATTAAGATATCCAGACAAAGTATGGGAGTTTTGAAGGATCAAATTCATGTACTATTTCTTGGGCTGTTAATTGGTTTAGGACACATTGCGCGAGTGTAGCCAACGAAATCCCATGTGTAGATGACTTAGCTCTGAACGCGCCTGAGGGCGCGTCCGTCGCAAAAATCATTATGATGATTAAATATCCGTGTATTTTCATAATTGCTGTATAACTGTTCTGATATCTTACTTTTGCCCACATTGAACAATACGAAAGTGACTTAATCGGACGAAAGTCAATGTCAATATTCACGATATTAATGTTTTTTATAATAAAAAAATAAATGAGTCATTTCATTATTATTCATGTTATCATGGTGATTGACCTATTACTGATGATGAAAATGACTAGCACAAAATATAAAAAAAGATCCTAACTTATAAAAAGATTGAACTTTACCGATATATATAGTACGATATTTATAGAAATTTCCGTGGATTACTTATTTCCTTTTTTCATAGTCATGATAGTGAAATATTATTTTAACAATGATGGGAAATTCCAAATTATTTTTCAAATTAACATGTACATTGCTCATCTACACCTGGATGAGCATAATAACTGCCACTTTAATCCGTGCAAGATATCTATGGTGGTACAGAAGAAAGGTTAATTCAATTGTCCACTCAATAAACAACCGGGCAAGTGTCATCAGTTACCTATGATTGGATTATAATAATACTTTAGTGGGATTAAGCATCATGCATTCACCGTCGTGATTACTATCAATTAAAGTGGATGCGAAAATGATATGACAACACGTGTTTGCATGTAAACATATTTATACTTTATTTTGTCTCATTTGTATACATCAGGTACGTATATTAACGTTAATATACGTACCTGGTATACATGCATTTTTAAACATATATACAACTATTCACATAAAACCTACATAAGACCATTCCATTTAAGAATTTCAAGAGACATTATAATAATGACAAACACATTCAAGACCTATTACTGTTAGATAAGAATCAAACAGTATAATTACAATATAATATATAAACAGAATATTAAATGTTAGGTAACACCATCGTTAATCAAAAATTAAAAACTGCCCGAAAAAGACGATGTAAGAAATTGAGAACTGTAAATCGGAGCCCTAACGCATACATTGTATAATTCATGTTTTTGCCAATTATAGTTTACATAATAAATTTCATTTTTCATCTTAACATATTAAGTTTTATAAAAATGATAGTTACAATGGCTTAAAACATACGTCTACAAACTGCAATATTATCATGAAAATTCTATTTCAACGCTATAT